TGTGAATGCAAGAACACAACGCCGACTGATAGATTAGCTCTTCTCGGTGCCCAAGTGCGTGCGACTGTCGATAATGTAGGAGAGGTCCCATGAATTCTTAAGGAAGATCCTACGGGCAATTGGAGAGGTCTAGGGATGAGTTGGAAGAAATAGTTGGGAAGACTTTGTGAAATGCGGTGAAGAAGCATCAGTGAGTTCCAGAAGAAGAAGGCGAAGGGTATAATGTCGAGCGATTTTCCCACGATAGACGAAAAAGATGAGACGCATCAAACGATGATGGAAATTGAACCCCTGCTAGTGGCGTCGGAATATCGAACTTGGAGAAACAGCCTGTTAACTCATGGGGAGTACCCGTGTCGCTGCCTGGCGCAGACGTTTCGGTAACCCAAGAGACCAAACCTAGTACTGGTTTGGGATGCCGAAGAATTGTTGTCCATGGGATTGCCTAGCCCAACCCAGAATGTAACGATACTGGTGTTCAGCGTCATGTTGGTAAGATGGCTGGAAGCCAATGCAGGGACGACAGAACAGGAGATGACCGTGCCAACTCCGGCGCAATTGAGCGAGTGAGCATTAGCAAGAGGCTGGATCTGTTCAAAAAGACCTGCAAAATCTTGAGAATACCGAAGGAAATAGAAAGAATTTGGGCAAGACAAAGATTGATGCCTTGGTTCGGGTGTATGAACGCCCGAAGCGTCATTTGTCTCAAAACATGGAAGTCTATCGATCTTTCCAGCTGGACATAGGACCGGAAGCATATAAGAGAGCATTCCTGACACATGAACGCTGTGACCACGGCAGTGAAGAGAGCAGCTGGGATGTCTTGCACCACTCAAAAGGAAAGGAAAGAGGACCTAGAACGACAAGCTGACCTAGATCTTACAAGCTGACCTGGAACGAAATGTGAGCCTGTGCCTGCACAAAAGGTTCTGCCAGAGAGCAGAAAGTGAATGTGGACTTACTACCCTGCTGCAAACAGAGGTTGCTGGATCAGGAAAGCTGGGGCACGGCCCGAAACTCTGTGGATATGCTGCAGAAAGTTCTAGAAGACAGTGAGAAAGGCGAGCAGGAACCAGAAGCGATGGACGAAGGTTGAATACGACGATTGAAGACGAAGATTGAAGACAGGGGGGATAGAAAACTATTTTGTCATTGCGTGTAAAAACTTGAACTAATCAACCAAGATTGATGAATGAAACTTTCAAACTTTTTGTTTTGATGTAGTTTGGTCAAACCAGACTTAGAAATTGTTGAGTTGTTAAAATTTTTGAATTGCAATGGAAAATTTAAGTTGACGATTATTTATATATATAGGCCTTAGGTGAGTATATTTACCTATTTAAACCTGACTGAATTTTTTAACCTGGGAGGGTTAGGGTAGAAAAATTCGAATTGCGGCGGTACACTTGTGAGAAATGAAAAAACGGCCATGTTAAGCCGGAAAATAGAAGAAAAACACAACAACCCGAATAACAAGTGCAAGACAGTGAACGAAATAAAAACGAAGCCTCTTATCGTGACGATCGCGCACGATAAGACAACTAATTGAAGTCGACAGAAGGAAAAGAGGAATCAGTGGGGCAGACGGAAGGAGCAGTACCCTCCCGTGCCACGAAGTTAGAGTAATAACGACGTTTTTACTGGAAGAGCGCGGAATTGGAGGCTCGGCCCCCAGAGACTGTCATATGGTGAAAGACTATAGTAAACTAACTTTTTAGCTACTCTGATGTCCTTAACATTTGAATTAACACCGTTTTATTTGTTATTTTAGAGTATGAGTAGATAGGTACAGGAAAGGGTCAATCCATCTCCAATGGATTTACAATAAAACTGTCACCAAAAACATAGTAAAATAAGATATTCGAGCCGTGTTTTTAATAGCAATCACGTAGTCTGGGGATCCGAGACCCAGCTATGTAGTTGTCTTCGCATGTAAACGAAAGCTGATCAAAAGTCGTTTGACTGATGGCCTAAAATTGGTAACTTTCACTTGGCCCTAGACAGACCAGAAAATCAACTGGCTAGGTCGAGACGGTGAAAAACGAGTAGAATTTAGGTAACTGACGCCGGCCAGTCGTCAATAGGTGCTTTTTCTACGCTCCGTCACTGTGTAGTATTTGGGCGAATGTTACATTGATGTAATTCTACATTTTTTGTTTATTCGAAACCCCACAGTTGAGTGCTGCCGCGTACACTAAGGAGTTGTCAATCTGGCGTCCAAGTCTGACTGCACAAATCCTTTCGCTTTTCGAGATATGGCGTTTTTTATGGTTTTTGCCTTTTTTTTCAAAAAACTTAGATATAAAAACTAATCAAACTTGAATTTCTCGACCTTATAGTGGGGTGCGTTCATGGTAGACTCAGGAATTGCAAATATGGCGTCCAAGTTTGGCTGCTGAAATACTTTTAATTTTCTTTTAATTTTCGAAGTTTTTTTAAATATTTTGTTTTCATTTTTTTTTTCAAAAAACATACTATCGAACTTGAAATTCTCAATCTTGAAAAGAGATGTTATCAGGGTGCACTCCGGGGTTGCAAATCTGGCCTCCAAGGTTGACTGCTCAAATCATTTTGGTTTTCGAGCGTTTTTCATGATTTTTTGAAATCATTATTTTTCAAAAAAAAACTAAGTTTTTAAAAATTTAATAGAACTTGTAAATCTCAACCCTATGGTGGAGTACAGTCAGGGTACACTGTGGGTTGCAGTTCTTCCCTCTAAATGTGACTGCTCAAATCCTTCTGTTTTCCGAAATGTGGCGTTACACATTCGGCATTGCAAATCTGCCCTCTAATTTTGACTGATCAAATCCTTTTCCGAGATGTGGCGTTTTGAAGTAGAAACGCTTGATACCTGAGCCCAGTTTATCTTCACGGTTGCAATAAATAATTTAGTACATGTTTTAGGAAGCTTTTTAAAACATGCGCTAGTCAATCCAGAGTTTCCAAAATATGCGACACCTATTAGAACTTTGAAATACTCATTTGAAGTGTGGCACTGGTGCAAAACAATAACTGTAGCGTCTAACGGAGAACTACTTCAATTCTCTTGAAATCGCAGTAGGGACAATGACAAGAGAAGCAACTTATTGCTTCGTCCTTACAATAATTAACTGTCTTTTTATATCTTGCAAACCTGTATCTGTCTAAACATTACTTAATTGGCATTTCAGTTGACACAGGTTTAGAAAGTACCTATGATGACTGCTTTAAGCTTTTTCGACGTATTATTTGTGCATGTTTAATTAAAGAGTTTTTGCTCATTTGAGCTCTATTGTATATTGCAAGGCTTAACAAGTTCCATTTGATACATGATAAGAAGTCGCTATGATGATATGTTAAAAGGCCAAAACGTTAAAAGGATAAAAATGTTTGCTCGAGTCGGACCTTTTGAAATCGGTTGGAGTGCAAATGCTTTAACTGTATTGCAAACAAATGCTTTAACCGTAGTGGGGTGCTGTTAGGGTACTTTCTGCGGGTTGCAAATCTGGCATGCAAATATGACTGCTCTAATGCTAGAGGTTTTCGAGATATGGTGTTTTCCTATGTTTTTTTTTCAAAAATGTAGATATTAAAAAACTAACCGAACATGAAATTCTCAACCGTATGGTGGAGTACTCTCAGGTACACTCGGGAGTTAAGTGTCTTCCCTCTAAATATGGCTTTTGGTTTTCGAGATATGGCGATTTTTGCGATGCTTTCATTAAAAAAAAACTTAGATATAAAATAAATGAGCTTGAAATTCTCAACCCCATAGTTGGGTGCTGTTAGGGTTCACTCGGTGGTTGAAAATCTGACCTCTAATTATTATTGATAAAAGTTTTTTGCTTTTCGAGATGGTTGATTTTTATGATTTTCTCATTTGTTTTTAGATAAAAAACTAACCGAAAAATTAGATGAAAAACTAACAGATCTTGTATTCTGAACCCTATGGTGGGTGCTGTCCGGTTACACTTCGGTGTTGCAAATCTGCCCTATAAATATATCTGAGAAAATCGTTTTGGTATCCGAGTCCGAGAAATGTGATTTTATGATTTTTTCAGTTTGTTTCGAAAAAGCTAAAAAAAAACAACTATCTTGAAATTCTCAATCCTATGTTTGGGAGCTATCCGGGCACATTCTTGGTTACTTTGATGAGACATATCTGGCTTCTGTTTTTACTGCTCAAATCTTCTCGTTTTTCGAGATATGGCGTTTCTTATAATTTCATCAATTCTTTTAGAAAAAGTTACATTAAAAACACTGTTAGAAGTTCAAATAATCAACCGTTCAGGTTACAATATAGGGAAGCAAATTTTCCCTCTTATTTTGTCGAGATGACGTTTTTATGGTATTTTCATTTAAAAAAAATATAATGATTAAAAACTGTTAACGCTTTAAGTCCTGAGCTCTATGCTGGGGTGCTGTCAGCGTACACTCAGGGGTTGCAAAACTGGCTGACGCAATCTTTGCTCAAAATTTGATTTCTGAGATATGGCGTTTTTTTATGATTTCAGATTTCAACTTTTTTGTCTTAGGGCGCTGACAAAATACACATACGGGTTACAAATTTGCCCTATTTCAGAAATGACTGATCAAAACCATTAAACAGCCGAGATAGGCTCTCTGCTTTTTTGGCGTTTTTTTTTTAATTTAAAAAACTCATATCTGATGATATTCTAGTTATAGAGATATGACAATGTTGGTCAAATATAGCCTCAAAATTGATTTTATAAAAAGTTCATTTAATGAAATAGAAACACCTGATAGATGAGCTTAGTTTATGTTCACGGTTGCCTAAATATCGCTGTTTCAGTACATGTTTTAGGAAGCTCTTCACGTTCAACTATCTATTTGAAGCACCGTAGGTGCGAGTCATGTGCTAGGTCGTCTCACACGAACCTTCTTGCATTATTTTCATCGGTGTCAAAATGCGCGCCCTAATTGACCATTTCTTGTTAGGCTTTAATATAGTTTATTGATTCATTATTTAGAACGAGCTTAAGAGTGTCGAACTGACTTAGGTGATCGACAATTGGGCTGTTATTTTAATGAGCGGTGGTAAGCCCTACACGCTAGGACTGTGGACATTAGCTGGGCAGGAAGAGCAAGATTACTTCATATGGAGAGCCCTAAAATACCGTCAGACCGACGTGTTCCTGGTGTGCTTCTCAGTTGTGAATCTTAGTTCTTTCGAGAGCGTCAAAGAAAAGGTATACTCTATTTGTTGAGACAAACTAATACTGAAGGTATAAATAGGTTTCATTTTCATGCTTCATTTTAATGTCATAAGTAAGCATTCGTTAACTTTAAATGATGTTTCCCTAAGATACGAGTAAAACAAGCATTATTATGCTTACACCACGCTAGAATATGGGAACAAGAAAAAAATATTGGCGTGAAAAATTCTTGCTAAAACTGCTTCGGTGTTGTTGAACTGACTAATTACCAACGAAGGAATAAAATTCGATTAAGCACTATTTCAGCAAAACCGCTTGAAACTGGAGAAATGAATTTTTTTTCAGTGGGTGCCAGAGATACAACACTACTGCAAAAAGACACCGTTTTTACTGGTGGGAACTCAGACCGATCTGAGGGATGAGCCAGGAAGTGGGAAGGTGAAGACGAATTCCATCTCGCAGAAGGAGGGAGAGAAGCTGGCCAAGGATCTGAAAGCGGCCAAATACGTCGAATGCTCTGCTCTCACACAGGTGAAAAAAGCGGAAATATCTTTGGTAAAATTAGTCTCTCATTTCTGTTAATTTCAATCATAGGATTTATTCAGTGTCAGTTAACGAATTGAAATAACTTCTTTATTTAGTTTGGTGTACCAATTTTTTTTTAATTCTTTTCAGAAATGGCGCGATAAAAAAACGTGAACAATGTTTTGTTTTCCAATAAGATTTTTTTGTTATCCAACGGATGAAAAAATTATAGATTGATCCATGTTTCTCAAAATGAGTTAAATTTTATCAAAAAAAGTGACAATCTTAATGTTTTTGACGTTCAAGTTGCCTTAAAACCATAATGCCTTATAATGTAAGTCAGTTTTTTTGTTTTTTTTGCGTTCCTTGACTCTTTTCCGTCTGCCTATTTGCTATGTTCTTCATTTTTATTTGTCTGATTTATTTTGGCTAATTTCTTTTTGCTTGTGATGTGGCAATCCCCGCAAATTAATAAGATTGTATAAACTTCGACGGGTTAACTTTTCATGACTTAGTTCTAAGGCTAATCTGTGTTGGTTGTGTTAGAAAGGACTGAAGAATGTATTTGACGAGGCTATTCTGGCGGCGCTTCAGCCTAACCCGAAGAAAGGAGGAGGAAAGGTGAGAAGGTGGCTCATGTCGAAAGGCTTCTAAAGACGACCAGATATTGGACTCAAATTACTTCGAGTTATCTTGCATCTATCCTTGTTTCTGTAGATTACGAATTTCAAATGGTTTCATTATTTTACTAATCACTCACTGCGGAGGCGATTTTGTCTATTCGTTTTTGATTTGTTGCTTATTGTGCAGCTGAATTGTTCACAGATTTGATTACTTATTATTACGCAAAACATGCAGAACCTGTTTTGCATATAATAGCTAATCGATCAGATTGAGCTAATTTAAAATTTATTGCTTTGTTTGCTAAAAAGACTGTAAAAATTAATTCAAGCTTTGTTTCTGACATTTGCCGAGTTTTGTTGACTCCAAAACTTTGTTGTGTAAATAAATGTAAATTGATTATTGGTTCGATGATTAGTTACGATAAGTAGATTAGTTAGATACTCAGTATCAATTTAGTATTTTAACGGTTTGTCTTTAAATCGAGGTTATAACGGCATGAAAATTGTTCCATCTAACTTTGATGTAAATAATCAAGACAGTGACCAGGTTCAACGTGGCGCTCGACATAAGCCGCTGAATGACCTTGATTAAGGTTAATGAAATAAACTGCAGAGTTACTGCAAAAAAGACATGTTGGTAACGAGGTACCGAAGGTCGCCTCACGACATTCCCCGCGTGAGGAAAAATTTTGTAAAGTGGCTTGACAAAATTTAGTATGAGAAAAAATAGAAAGTACCGGAATGAGCTTAAGTTTAATAGCACCCCTATCCGTTTAAATGCCAGGTGACTCAATATAAGAGAGAAATACCGCGAGGTAGATAAGTTTAAGCAAGTTTTGTATAGTTTTATTCCCGACAATAGTCGTTTAGTGTTAAGAGTTTTCTTTGCCCGCAAATGAATGAGAAGGCGCTTCCGGCACGGCATTATGAGGTCAGTCCCTGATGAGCATCTTCCGCGGAGATGACGAAATCGGTGAGTCGAGTCTTGAGCGGGTAACGGGCCAGCCTGAACTTGGCTTTTTATTGCGCGAGGAGGCACGGACCGCCTCCGAATCTTCCATGACCGGTTAGGCCGGAAGAGATAATGACGGGTACGAAGATCGTAGTTCAGAACTGGCGTCATGCGTTGTTCGCACTCGTGCCTCTAATGACAGAACAGCCGGAGTTGGAGATACTACTGCAAAATCCATTAAGCCGGGGCCAGTAAATTGAGCCTCGGACGAGCTAGGCGTCTGAATAGTGTTCGTGACAGCAGTTGTGCTTGGCAGCTGAGTGAGGGAATTGGACGTTTTTAAGAACTTGACTGGCGGAGAATCTTCTGACAGCTGAGGACGTGCCGTGACTGGAGTGGATTACTTCAACACTTGGGGATGACTCGACCCTGAAGAGCCCTCACTGGACGTGTCTGCCGTGAGATTGACCACTATGGGATCGGACAAGCTCGGCTTAATCGGGCGTTGCTCCATTAACACTGGTTGAGACCTGGGAACCGCTCTCTTAACAGCGCCAGCAGAAGTTGTGTCATGAATACGTTCACCTAGCGTCTTTTGGCTAACTGAAATGTCATACCGAAAGTTAGGTTTAAGGCAAATATGATTTTTCCGATAGACTCTCTCTTTATCAGTGACATAAGTGTGATTCGTAATCTGAGTGGTTTTGAGTTTCGCAGTTTTATAAAGAGGTTTTCCCGAATGTCGATATATGATTTTTCTAAAGACTTCAACTCGTTTAGGATCATTCAAAAGAAGTTTGTCCAATTTATTTGTTTTGCTCGGGCGACAGGCTTGCTGAGCCGGAAACTTCCGTTGGCTATTAGAGATCACCGGGGGTGTAGGACTCGACACATGCTCGTAGAATTGTTGAGTGTTTCGGGTAAGGCCAGTTTCAAGTGAGTGTGCAAGATCTGAGTGCCGACTGGACAGCTCTTTGAGGACAAGTTTCCGCCCTCCGCTGGAAGGTTTTTTTCATACTGAGACCACGTATTCACTGCCCGCGCGAGATCCACCGGAGCCTTATATGGCTCGCTGTCTGCAACATTGCCGTCTAAAGAGAACATCGGTAGAAAGCGAGGAGCAATCGTAGGACTAGCGCTGCCTCCTGGGACCAACTTGGCTCGATCTCTGCTGTAGTCTTGACTGGCGATCTGATCCGGCGTGAGGAGGTTACGTTCAAGTACTTGAGCTGAAGAAGCAATATTAACAATATTACGATAAGCTTGAGACCACTCAGTATTCAGTTTCCGACCAAAATGTAGCTCAAAAGGTAGTTTTTCAAGTACAGCCTGCTTACTTTTGCGTATATTTTCAACTAGCTGTTGAATCGTTGACTTTAAAGTAGTAACAAAAAATGGATCAAGTTTTGTAGTACCCAATTTACGCTTAATCGTTTCAATTGAACGCTCAACCACGCCTCTACCTCGGTGGTCTCCAACAGATAGAATATGAATGATGCCTCTACTAGAACAAAATTGCTCAACCATGTCATTTTTAAACCCAGACCCGTGATCAGTCCTGATAGATTGAGGTAGGCCATGAATATGTATATAAGAATCAAGGAATTTCACGACTTTTTTGCACCCGTAGTTTTTGTAATAAGAACAGAAGGACACTTAGAGAAGCGGTCACTAGCAACTAAGAGGAAGGTTTATTGCCCTTATCATCCAATATAAACCCTGCAAAATCTATCTGAAATTCTTGATTAGGACCAGACAGATTAGGCAAAAGTTGCGCCGTATTAAACGTTTTAGTAGATTTAAGATTCGTACCATACAACGTGCATTCACGTCTTCTTTCGCACGTATCGACTATCTGTCGAGTACGGAATGGCCACCAGTTGTATTCGGAGGCCGACATCATCGCCTCTCGACCCAGGTGTGAACGATGTAGTCTGGCGAGGACAGCTTTTCTCAATGGCCCCGGGATCGCTAATTTATTGTCCACAATCACGCACTCGTTAACTGTCGCAGCTTCGGTCCAAAACTGAATCATGTAGGACCCTAACTTGTTAACTGACGTCATGTCTTTGTTATTGATTGCACGCTTCATGGGGCCTAGAAATTTATCCTCCTCTGTGAGTTTGGCCAGAAGATCTGCGTCGAAAAGGCCAGGTAGACCTACTATTTCCTATCGGGATTTGGACAGAATCGACTTTTCTCCATTAACGGCGAAGACTCCAATCTTTTTAGCTGTGTGTAGTTTCCCCGGATTGGATAACCGGCACCTCCGCATCGCCTCTAGCAACTGGGCATGAACTAACTTCTTTCTGAGAGTTAATCCATGCGGCAACAAATTGAGTTCTGGCAGCCCTTTCTCGTGTCCTGTTGTGCTGGCGATTTTGATCTGTTCTGGACATCCTGCCCATCTGGCGGGATCGTAGTGGAAGACGACAACTTGGCCTTGAGAAGTTAAGCGAGTTGAGTGAAAAGTTCTCCACAAAAGTTAGTAAGTCAGTCTGTTCGGCCGTTGAGTTTAGTATGGTATTAGAGTTAATAGAGACATTAGTAATAGTATTATTAGGATCATTTTCTGTATTTGGTGGCTGATTCATTACGTAAGGGTAGAGATTTGGAAGATTAGATTTTTGATCAGAGATCATAGATTTTTGACTGTTTCGCATTGATTCAGGTCGGAGACAATGATTTTGAGTGAGAAATTCCGGACTACGATTTTGATTTAGCATACTGGTATTTGATTAGTTGACACACTCCGAGAATAACTCGACGCCCTCTATCGATGAGGAATTAGATTTGCGAATTTTCAAAATGGGATATGATGGTCGAACTGCTGAGTGTATTTATCGACGCCCCCTACCGAAGAATGACGCTGAATTGAGTGGATATGACGATGCCGCGTTATAAACTCGACGCCCTCTTGCAGAAGAGAATCACACCCAGACCGCTTCTGAGAGAAGCCAGTGGAAATAATAAAATTTCCTCAATAGATTTGACAACAAAAAATTCATCGTATTGAGAGGGCTCTGGGCAGAAAACGTAGATAGATAGACGGGCTGGGGGTAACGACATAGATAATCAACAATGCCCAACGTTACCATATGAACATGAACAACTTCAAAATCGAAGGCTAATAACCCGTCGGCCTACCGTGACAAACGAGATTGATATGAATTGTTCTTATAAATTTCACTTCAGGCAGAAATTATAGCTTTATGATCGGTCAGTACTTGAAAGCGATTTCCCAGTAAAAATGTTCGAAAAAAATCACAAGCCCAAACGATTGCTAACAATTCCAACTCGTTTGTACTATACTTTTCCTCCGCATTATTAAGAAAAGGCGAAGCAAAAGCGGTTGGTGCCCAAACTCCAGGTTCTATCTCCTGCTCAAGGCAAGCCCCTTTTCCATTATGACCTGCATCACATTTCATTATCGATTTTTTTTAGAAGAGTCATTGTGAAAAAGGCTGGGATTTTTACAAAGATAACAAATGAAACCATCGATACCCTGTAAGGTGCAATCCATTGCCTTTTGGAACTCAGTTGGCATATCGGTTAAGCCATAAAATCCAGTTTTGAATCTTTACGTCCCAGTTGGCTGGCCACACAGAATGTTAAAATTGCCATGAAGACTGCTAGTAAGAGCCGATAACGGCAATTGACTGAGCGTATTTCAAGTTCAACGATGTGAACCACACCTTTCCAGGAACGTCCTTGGTAATGATTTGTGTCACCGCTTATTGTATTCCACGTACATGGTTTCAATAGGGTGGCTCGCAACATCTCGGAAATTAATGGAAGGGTTACGCTGTAACAAGAGATCAAAAGTACGTTTATTGAGGAACGAAACCGGACTTCCTCTATCAATCGTGGACTAAAAGAATCTAGAACCTGACCGAAGTTGAATGCTGAGGCTCCTAGGTTTTCCTGCGACTGATTTAGGTACCTCAATGCTGTCGATCCGTATTGCATGCTCCATCTGGAAGACACCGTACTCCGGTTCATTATCGTATTCGACATCTTTGAAGTTGCAATCTAACGCATGATTTGACGTTTCCTCAATTTCTGGGACCAAGTTCACCCTTCATTTAGACGAATTGCAACACTTTGCAAAATTACCACTTTTTTACAGAGGTTACACGTAACTTCCCGAGCTGGACAGGATTTCTTGTGATCTAGACTAAAAGGGTTACCGCAGAAGTAGCATGGTTATTCGCTTGGTTACCCTGGGTATTTTGACGATTCGTTTGATTCTGAGGATAATTACGTTTCCCTCTGGACGGCTGAATTGAAAAAGCTGGTTCTTGTTTAACTTTAATGGTGTTTGAATATTGATTATGAGGAAGTAGCTTCTGAAATTGGGATGACGTGCTTGCCCCTTTTTCACACTCCAACCCGAGTTTGAAAGTGTTATCGAGATTTGTCTTGACTTGAATAAGCTGTTGCTGAACAT